AAGTAACAGAAACATTGCAAATCCCATCTACATGCATAGGAGCCAAAATGATCAATAAATTGATCGTGGGCCCTTAAGATATAGAAGAAGAAGAAAGACGTGAAATAAAAAGTGGGCAGTGACGTATTATGAAAAGGGTGGGGGGGGGGGGGGGGGAGTGAAGGGGTGTAGCAACATTGTCATTCTGAAATGTGCGTAACTTGAGGTAATGTTTTTGTCAAGTAACTTTAGTCGATGGGAAGTTCGCGCATTGCTACCGCTGATGTATGGCGGGCTATACCTAGTAGTAAACAATCACACACACACACACGATGATGAGTCAACACGGAAAATGATAATCGTCCAGGGAAAATGTCGTTTCTAGGAATTGACTCACATTGACCGCCTCGAACTTAGCACACAGCAACCTTTTGTATGCAGCATGGTGATAAAGATCTTTTCACGGCAACAGCTGCTGCGACGTCATTAAAAGCTGCTTTACCGTGTTTGCAATCCATGCGTTAAAAAAAATTGTTAGTACGCAGCTTTTGTCTTAAAAATTATGATCATTTTTATGTTAAGGTTGTTGGGGTTTTTTTTCCTACACGTATTCTTAAAGATTTTTACTTTCCTGGCAGCGTCAATTTATTTGTTTTTTTCTCTGTTCAATTATTTACATTCATTGTCCATTGAGTTTCCCAGTACACTTAAGCATGTTACGTTTCTTTAGAGCAAAATGAAGCATGATATATATATCTATATATATATATAACATATGTGGCAAATATGTGTAAATATATATATAACATATGTGGCAAATATGTGTAAATATATATATATATATATAACATATGTGGCAATAAAAGTTTAATATGTTTTATGAATAACTTACCTTAAACCTTTTCCTGAACAAGTCATACTTTTTTTCTCTTCACCATAAGGAACTGGTATTAATATTTTATCGAAATGTTAAATATATCCTTGTAAGTGCTAGTTAAGTATATATTTTATGGAGTAGCCATATCTTTTATTCAATCCAAATTTTAAAAAAAAACAAACTGCTCGCTTTTTGGAAATCTGAAAATAGATTTATATAAAAATTACAGTATTCCTTTTTTCTATTAAGTTTTTTTTTTTTTTTTTTTTTTTTTTTTTATTTTTTTTTTTTTTTTTTTTTTTTTTAAATTTAGAATTTACACTATCTTAATTAATCCGAGTAAATAATTGAAACTACCGATTCGATTAATATTGCCGAAAATTACAAAATGTGTCGGGGTG